CCCCCCCCCCCCCCCCCCCCCCGCCCGAAAAAAAAAGCCTGTCGAGCAGCTCGAGGTAAGATGCCAGACATGTGGGAACAGCATTTGGAGAGGCCGCACGCTTCGAAGTTGTGTGCCCCAAACCTAAACCCTGAACCCTAAACCCTAAACCCTAAACCCCAAACCCTAAACCCTAAACCCGAACCTTAACCATAGAAGATGCTTTCGCCATGGGTCCAGAAAGACATCCAACAACCAGAGGACCAATGAATTGGAGGACCACTAAGGGAAAGTTACATGGTCCTTGAGGGCCCATGTTAAGGGACCATGTAACTACCCTAAGAGTTTAGTTCGGGTTCAGGGATTTGGGCTTTGGTAGGGTTCAGGAATTTAGGGTTAAGGGTTCGGTTTCGGGGATAGGGCGCTTGTTTGTTGGCGTGGTGGGCGCATTTTTTTTGCGCGCTTTGGGGGCGTGCTGTTCTTTTCTGAGGCTGGGGGGTGGGGGGACACCAACCCAAAACAGGCATCCTGAAGAAAGACACTCCATCTGACCGCCGACATGCAAGCAAACGCTAGACTCGAAAAAACCGGCGGTCCACAACAGCCATCTTGCTGGGGTGGAGAAGGTCGACGTATGCCTCTCATGGATGGTCCCCGCCCGGGCACATGCGGGGGCCTAATGTCTCAAAAGGGTTTTTCGGATGAAAGGTCGTGTCAGACAGCAACAGAACCGGCAACAGAAGGCAGCAGGTCAAGATTGTGAGGACCTCTCACTCACACTAACTACTCCTCCATCAAACTGGTGATGTTGAATCCTTCAACACTGGTGTCGTTGCAGCTCTAGCCCTCGCAAGCCCTCATCTGTTATATGAAGCCCTAAACCCGTGAACCCTAAAACCCTGACTCCTAAACCCTGTCTCCTAAACCCCTAAACCCTCAACTCTTCAACCCCGAACGTCCTCACTAAGCGCCTTCAACCCTCAAAACCCTTGCATTCCCTCAACTCCCCAAACACCCCTGAAACCCTGAAACCCTGGAAACCCTGAAACCCTGAAACCCTGAAACCCTGAAACCCTGAAACCCTGAAACCCTTAAACCCTAAACCCTAAACCCTCAAAGACATTCCGGGCCTGACCATCCCGGCGTGCAACATCAGCGGGCCTGGGCGACCAGGGTTTAGGGTTTGGGGTTTAGGGCTTAGGGCTTAGGGTTTAGGGTTTAGGGTTTAGGGCTTAGGGTTTAGGGTTTAGGGTTTAGGGTTTAGAGCTTGGGGTTTAGGGTTTAGGGTTTAGGTGCTATCTAAGGTTGGAACCACGGGCCCTTTGTGTGGTCCCGCACCCTTGTTCATAGGGATCCGAAGTACGGGCCCTGCATATATACATATATACATATATACATATATACATATATACATATATACATATATACATATATACATATATACATATATACATATATACATATATATATATATACATATATATATATATTATTTCTGTATTTATATTTATATTTATACTTTTACTTATATTTTATTTACATATATATATATATGGTACCCCCCCCCCCCAAAACCCCACGCTTCCATATGCTCTTCCCTGAAGTCCGACAGATCGGCCTCCCAGTTTGGTCATGGTAGGGTTTTAGAAATTCATTAAATAGTTTACTGAATTTCACTAATGTGTCTAATGTCCTTGATTTCGTTACTTTTAATTAACTTCGTTGATTCCAAAAAGCTGAATTCACATAATTAGATCCACTCAGCCATTTCGTATGAATTCAATAAGAATCCTATTTAAATCAATACGTACAATTGATAGGAATCTGGTTTAAATATGTAGAAGCATATCAAATTAGTAGGACTCCTATTCTAATTTCTTGGAGTCCTAAACTCGAAGGAATCATAGGAAGCCCATCGAAATGAATAGGAACCCTTTTGAATTCATAGGAATGCTACTAAAATGAA